TTTGTTTTTTTCAAATAAATAGTCGTTATTAAAGTGGGTTAATAACCGAAACCATTTGTTTAAGAAATGTTTTTTCCGCTTTCATATACATATGTATCAATAGACAACAATGCAAAATATATGCAAGTGCAAAGAAACAAGAGCATTATGACACTTGAATGAGCTTACGTGTGTTTTTAAGTGCGAATTTGTAAATATGTATTACACACACAAAACACATGCAAATTTGTATTTATTTGCATTTAAAATTAAAAATAAAACCACACCGTAATCAATTTTTCATTGCACAGTAAAATTAATTTACGTAAGTCAAATTTGCGCACAGTACATATCAGTTGGAATAATTTTAATGTTGATTTATCAAAAATGCGCTATCAGCACTTGAAATAAATCAAAATCGCCATTTATTTTTATATTTTATTATGGTTCATTAGTTATGTATGTATATATGGTCTATCTATGTATTTCTTGAAGAGTCAAGTTCATGAAATAAGAGCCTCTTTATTAAAGCCACTTTAAAATCGAATCAACGACGCGTGTTCAATAAACTTGTCTAAAGCTTGTAGTAAACTGCATACAGTAGAATTCTTGAAGTTTCACATAATTAAAACCGAATTTGCGCTCCTTCACATACAAGGCAGCTGTAGTAGACCTCGCAACGTTCCATGTTTGGTCTACCTTGCTCCATCCATCGCATTGCTGGGACAGCGTTTATGGCAGCATTCCTGGTATTCCGGCTGACATCAACCAACCGGGTAGAGGGGCCTTCTCACGTTCCCACGGCAGTCGCGTCTACGTAACCGGAACGACACAGATTTATATTTGGCAAAGGACTGTCACTAATCTGAATATAATGTTATACAAACTTGGGAAATTTGGTATACCGGCTCCAAACTAAAGATTATTTAAAAACTTCTCCCCTAATTGAAAGTTTGTAGTAAGAATCGGCTCCATAAAATTTAAAACTATTATAAATGCGGGCTTCCCGTAAAAGACTCAGGTAGGTCCTCCCCTATTCTTGTTCTTCAAAATGTTTAATTATTTCCTAGGTGAGACTACTTTGCTCCGTAAATATGATGTTAAAGATTTAGGGACCATCTTTGATAGTAAACTAACATTATTATCGCTTGCGGACGTGTTATTAACAAATCGTATTCAATGTTATGGTTTATAAAATGAAACTCTGAAAGTTTCAAGATCTCTTTTATTTTGAATTCTCTTTATGTAGCTTTAGTCCGTAGTGTCCTTGAACATTGTTCTGTCAATTGAAATAGCTATTACGATTAATACTCGGGTCGCATAGAAACCATCCAGAAGAAATTCACTAAATTCACGCTTAAGGTAATGCGATGGTCTTTTGGTGCATCTCATAGTACGCCTAATGATAAATCGATGTATATAATTTAATTTAATTTAATTTAATTAATGTACCAATAGCCAGAATTTTAAGACTGCAATTCTCATACCTCATTTTTAAATTTAAGTAAGTAAAAATAAATAATTGATATTTTAAACTAAACCTTTTTAAAATCCATAATTAATGCAATATTTAACTTTTTTTGAAGTTAAGCAGTAGTCTGTTATAATACTTATTTCTGTAGACTAATGAAATCAGAATAAATAAACAGCAAGTACACATATTTGTACACTTCCAATGTAGGTAAACCAGAAAAAATATAAAATCATTTGTCGACACCTTATTTGCTCAGTCGCTTCGATTAAATAATAAAAAATATATAATCTGTATCGCAAATTAGTCGAAGAAAGTGCCACAGGTGACAAAATTTGTAGATATGTACATATACAGGGTGTCCCAGAAGTAACGTGCCAAACTTTAGGGGAAGGTAGGTGGGGGGGTGAGCTCACTGATAAACAAAAAATTTTCAGGTAAAAGTGTCACCGTTTTTGAAATATTTACATTTTTTCGAATTTTCTTAGTAAATTTTTTATGTAAAATACTTCCAGATAGTTGCCTCTCCATACTCAAATGCAACGTAGTTAAAATATATTAAGGAACCATCATAAAATTAGGACTATTTCTGGATTTTTAACTTTTTGATATTTTCTTCCCCAACTTTGACTATCTCGGGTGAAAAAAAATGTACTGAGCTATAACTTTACATTACATAAAAAAATTGCTAATTTCAAAAAGATTTCAGAAAGGTGCCACACTTACTGTTTTGAATAGAAAAAAAGTTATAGCCGCTTTTGTGGGTAAAGGACTGAGACACGCTAGAACGTATTTAATAGATTTAGATTGAATTTGCTCTTGTTACCGTCAAATGACATGCTAAATAGTACAAAGGTACATTATTACCTGCTCCTGACATTATTTTGTGTTGGACCCTTCGAACATTGTGTTATTAATACTATGACAGAGAACACGCAGTATACGTCGCATGAATATGCGGATATTCACCTAATTTACGGTGAAGCTTGCTGTAATGCCAGAGCTGCTCAACGACTCTATGCAGAGCGATACCCCAATCGTCGACATCCGGGTCGTGAAGTATTCGCCCGGACCCATAGAGAAATATATGAAGGTAAGTGATTTTTACACCTTTCTTGTTTGCTTGCTTGTTAACTATCATTTTTCACTTTTTTAAGGTCGCATACCTGAAAGGCGTGGCGGCGAAACAGGACGTCCTGCAACGGTAGATGTTGAAGCTGTGTTAGAGGAAATGGAACTAGGTCCATCGACTTCAGTCAGAATGATGGAAAGACGGACGGGAATACCAAAAACTACAGTTCACAAAGCTTTAAAAGACCATCGATTTCATCCCTACCACATTCAACGTGTTCAGGCTCTACAGGAAAGAGATTACCTGTCGAGGGTTAGATTTTGCCGTGAAATGTTGCGAATGCATGCATCAGATCCCAACTTTTTTAATAAAATAATTTGGAGCCATGAATCATCATGCAAACGTGATGGTTATTTTAATTTACATAACCTTCACAGTTGGCAGATAGATAATCCTCACGAAATGAGAGAAGATCGTTCGCAGTACCGGTACAAAATAAATTTATGGTGCGGTATTTTTAATTGTCAGATATTGGGACCTGTGGAACTGCCGCCAACGCTCAACTCTCACAGTTATTTAGAGTTCCTTCAGGAACGGCTTCCAACTCTTTTGGAAAATGTACACTTAAACCTGCGGCGAAGACTATGGCTGCAAAATGACGGGTGCCCTGCTCACTACGGGCGTGAAGTAAGAGCTCATTTAGACGAAACTTATCCTCGCCGATGGATTGGACGATACGGGCCAATCACGTGGCCCGCTCGATCGCCAGACCTGAATCCATTAGATTTTTTCTACTGGGGCTGTCTTAAGGACAAAATTTATTCAAAAACAATTCAAAACGAAGAGCATTTGCGGGAACAAATAAATGGAGCTGCTGCTGAGATAGCCCAATTGAGTTTAAGATCTCTAAAAGCGTCTTTTCTTAAAAGGTGCCGAGCTTGTATTAGAGTAGAAGGTCGCCAATTTGAGCATATTTTATCAATAAATGAATAAATTTTTCTTCAAACAACTCATGTATATCTTATTTCACGTGAACCCATCCTTCACACAAAATATTGATAGATATAGCCCTTGTTATAGACTCTAGTCCGAATTGCGGTAAGTAACATAAAATAATGTCAGAAGCAAGTAATTATGTACCTTTTTACTATTTAGCATGTCATTTGACGGTAACAAAAGCAAATTCAATTTAAATCTATTAAATACATTCTAGCGTGTCTCAGTCCTTTACCCACAAAAGCGGCTATAACTTTTTTTTTCTATTCAAAACAGTAAGTGTGGCACCTTTCTGAAATCTTTATGAAATGAGCAAATTTTTATGTAATGTAAAGTTATAGCTCAGTACATTTTTTTTTCACCCGAGATAGTCAAAGTTGGGGAAGAAAATATCAAAAAGTTAAAAATCCAGAAATAGTCCTAATTTTATGATGGTTCCTTAATATATTTTAACTACATTGCATTTGAGTATGGAGAGGCAACTATCTGGAAGATTTTTTACATAAAAAATTTACTAAGTATTGCCCGGTTTGTAGTTGCATTTAAAGAAAACACATGAAAAGGCACGATTTTTTTTAAATTCGAAAAAATGTAAATATTTCAAAAACGGTGACACTTTTACCTGAAATTTTTTTGTTTATCAGGGAGCTCACCCCCCACCTACCTTCCCCTAAAGTTTGGCACGTTACTTCTGGGACACCCTGTATACAGCGTGGCGACGAATAACTGTTACCCAGTTTTTTTTTGAGAAATAAAAGGGTCCTTTATAAATTTTGCGAAAAAAGTATTTTATTGTTAATTTTCCACAGATTTTACTTTAGTTGTATTAGTTAGTTTTTAAATTTTAATCCTTATCTACATTTGCCAGCAGTGTAAACTTTGAGAGAAAAGTTCATTTGGCACGCAAGTCTTTTTCAGGTGTATTTTTCTTAGGCTTTGTATAAAAAAAGTACAAAAAAGAAAAAAACTGTATAAGGTTGGTCGAATGAATGGCCGTCCTAGTCACCAGTCCCGAGTCTATTAGATTTTTGAGTATGAGGCCTTATTTTGGACAGAAGGGGGAGTATAAGGGACTCAAAATGGAGAAAATTAGCCTATGGTTACAGAAGATATGGAACAAATTAACTGACGAGGACCTGCGTGCCAAATGAACTTTTCTCTCAAAGTTTACACTGCTGGCAAATGTAAATAAGGATTAAAATTTAAAAACTAATTAATACAACTAAAGTAAAATCTGTGGAAAATTATCAATAACATACTTTTTCGCAAAATCTATAAAGGACTCTTCTATTTCTCAAAAAAACCTGGGTAACAGTTATTCGTCGCCACGCTGTACATACAAATGTATGTATGTACATAGTAGGTACCTAAAACACATAAAAATACATATCTAAAGTATTCCAAAAAGAGCTTTCTCAGATAATTTGGAACGAAGCCATCACTTTCATTACCATTTAAACAATAATATTATGCGCAACTCACCTAGATTTGGCACGGTAACAGTAACTTGATTGTTGGAGCCGACGTCCACAGTAGCTACTTTACTTTTGTCTACACTCGCTGGCTTAAAGTCATCTATAAAAAAAAACAGAAAAAGAATGTTGTTTTAAATATAATAACATATGTAAATACTGGTATGTGTGTGTAATTGGTATGAAGAATATGCAGAATATTTCTTAAAGAACTTACATTTTATCGTGTGAAAGGCGGTCGTTGTATTTTTCGTATTAAATGTGCAGCCAAGCTTTAATTCGCGCACTTCCTCGCCAATATTTAGGCGCTCGGCGAGCGAACTTTTATGTTTGGTCATCATCATCGTCGTCGTTGTCGACGTTGAACCAGCTGGAGCCGTTGAGAGTTTGGTATGAGGCGCTGTGGTTTTTGTATGTGACGATGACGATAATGTTGTATTGGCGTATGTTGAATAATTTGTATAATTGGCACTGGTGTTACTGTTGTTGTTGTGTTGGTTGTTATAGTTGTAGTTGTAATTGTTGTTATTGGACTGGTGTTGTTGTTGCTGTTGTTTTTGTTGATATGATGATTTTGTGGGTGTTGTTGTTGCAGTTGTGGTGTTGTAATTTGGCGATTGAAAACCATGCAAATACGCCGGTTCCTGTTCAGCCTGAAATATCGAGTTGGGCGACGTTGTATAGGATTTTCCGCCGCTGCCACCGCCAGGACCTGCACCACTCGTCGTCGTCGTCGTCGTCGCCGCCGCCGCTGCTGCCCACTGTCCAGCACCGCCGCCACTTCGTTGCAATTGCTGTACACTGCCTGTTGTAAATTTACGGCCGCCTGCTGAACGACCACTTCCTCCAACACCCCCACTGCTACTATTACTCGCTGTTACTGTTGCCCCAGCCGCTGCACTGCCTGTTCGACTGCGTTTCACGCTACCACCTGCAGCTTTGGCCTTGAGACGCTGTAACGTGGTGGTGCCCGATGACTTCGGAATTTTTTCGGTTTATGGTGCAATACGGAATTGCACACACACGCTCACGTACGAAAAAATATAATATTTACACTTAAAATTAAAAAAATAGTGGATTGCACACTACCAGGCGCGAGTTTCTAACGCCCAGCACCTCTGCTTTTCAAATCAGCTGGCGATACGCACTACACTTAGCACACATTTTGTTTTTAATTATTTTGATTCTGAAAACAAAGTAGATACATGGGTATATAAAATTGATTAATCACTAAGCGATCACTTATCGGGAAACTGTAGATGTGCTATTTACATATGCATGTAGGTACACAATTATATACATAGTATGTAATTATGTAGTATCTACTAGTCTTAATTCGAAACGTCCTAAAAATCTTGCTTTCAAAATTGCACGCATATGCGGTGGGCATCTATGAGCCCCACTCTTATGACAAGGTATTACCTAGCAAAGTCTACGAACCCTAATAAATGGGAAACTTTGCGATTCACTACGAACTGCAGCTTATGCTGACTCAATATATAACTCATCCCACAAGTTGGTTAAGTACATAATGTACATATGTATGCTAATTTCTGACAAAGTAAACTTGTGATTTTTAAGACGAAATTTTTTAGCATTCCATTATAGTGATTTTTGCACATCCGAAAAGATTGAGATTTTTAATTTTGTATGTCTCCTGGTACATATTCTTCTTTTCCTCGTACTGCAGCTGTCAGAACATATGTTTGCATTTACGGCCTTTGCATTCCTCCGGCTTTCACAAATCGAAAATCCGCAGTAACGCAATGCGTGCGACAAATATGAAAGGTATGGCACGCCGTTACAGCCGCTACAACAACAATAACGACATCAGCCCACAGCAACAGCATTGGTAGGCAGTGTCGCCACTCAGCTGTCACCAATACCACCCCCACAAGCATATGGCCTGTTGACCACTTTTCACCGAAGAAAAGTAATGGCAAAGTAGAAAAGAGGAATTGAAAGAAATAAAATTGCAACCTACTACCAACAACTCCCAGCAGCGCGCGCGTCGACGTCATTGACGTCTCAGTATCTGACGTCGACGCCATCGACTGCGAATGGAACATAAGAGAATTGAATAGGGGGCTGGGGCGACGGTCATCATGCGCTGTGGTGGTGGTGGTGGCGTGTGTTGGCGCTGTTGCTGCCTGTGGCGAAACTGTTGCAATTTTCACTATATTTTTTGTTGTTTTTTTTTTACATACCAAGATTTATTGCGTCTGTACGCTGTTACTACACTCACTTTAGCAAACGCATACGCGTTGTATAAAAGAAAAGGAAATTTTGTATGTGCACCCACGGTCTAACCTAGAACACTAATTTTTATTCGATTTCATAGATTTTTGGGGTTATTTTCCATACACGGAATTATTTCGATGCTTTGTCAACGTTTTTGGTTTCGATTTCGACGACGGCGCACCTCGCGACGTTCCAGCGCACCTGCCGCAACGACGACACTGAAATTTTACACGTCCACAAAAATCTCGAAACGATTTTTTGCACTTTTCCAATTTATTAAAGTTTTTCAATTTCCGCAAACGCGTTATTGCCGATTTTTAAGCACTTTTTCATGAGTGTTGGTCAAATAAAAATTTTCTCTTTCGATTGATTTCAACGTCGTCGCGCTGTCGTCGTTGTCTCGTCTACGTTTCTTGCACTTTCATCACTTCAATGATAGTTCGCCGTTTTTGGTCTTTTCGCTGTGTGACTGGTTGCCTGTCACTGTTTATCGCTGTCTATGTTTCCTTCCTATTCGTAGCGCAGGGTTGCATTGAAGATATTTGCAAATCTTTTTCATAAAATTTAAAGAAATACATGCGTATGCCAAAAATTTTATAAAAATCTTTTTTCAAAGATTTGCAAAAGAATTGAATCTTATTAAAACCAAAAACTTTGTATTGAGAGATTACTATTGATTATGTAAGACAATTGCCAAACTTAATAACTATAAGGATATGCCGGCAAACGGCGAATTATTATATTATTATTTAATATCGATCTACAGCTGACATTTTCAAGGTCACAGCTGCTTATTTTACCTTTTACTTGATTGCAGGATTTAATGCAAGCAAGTTTTTCTACCTGTGTATGCACTTCGCTTTTTTGTAGTCGTAGCTATAAAATAAAAGATGACTTAAGGCCACACATAACCGGCCGTCTTCGCATGCTTGAAAATCTCGCTCTTTCTTCTCTCGCAAGCGAGATAGAGTTTTGTTGATTGTGCATTTGACACAATACTTTTTCATTTGTAAAATGTCGCCAAAAAAGACGAAAAGTATGCGTCGTACATTTTGCGTTCTACATGAGTGGGATCTGCCAAGCGTCGTCAGGCAAGCGAGATTTTCCAGCAGGTGAAGACGGCCGGTTGGGAAACGGTTTGCTTCGATTACTTTTTAAGGCACATTAAACAGGCAGCGGCATTAAGTAAAACCAACAAGCTGCCGCTATTTTGTTGTTATTATTTCTCTAAAATGCCTAAAAATTTAAATAAAATTTGCTAATACAGAGTGAAATGTAAACATAAACCACTTCGAATGAAAAAAAGATTAAAATCGCAACCCTGCACATTTGCATTTGTTTTTTGTTGTTGTTGTTGTAGCAGCATACAAATTCCACAAAGACTTTTTGGGGAGTGTTGCTGGAGTGACAGTCCTTGGCCAGATATAAATCTGGGTCGTTCCGGTTACGTAGACCCGACTGTCGTGGGAACGGCATTGGTTTTTTCCCCGATTTTTACTAACACTGGCGCCGAAACTGCTGCTTTGGAACCGAAATGCCAAAAGAAAATTCGGTTACCGTTTGAGAGCCCGTGTGAATTGTAGAGTTTTGAAAGCCACTGCATGTGCACTATGCAGTTTTTAAATATGTATTCAGGGTTTTGACTACGATAAATGAGAAATATTGGTCGATAACGCAGGTGATCTGTGAACTGCTTTGCCACGAAAGGAAACACTGCTTGGTGTATTATTTACTACCGTTTTAACGACTTTCACCGGATGTACAAGTATGTATTAATTAATTTAGATTGAAAAAAATTTGTAAATGGAAAAAGTCATGAAATGCTTATGAGGATGATAACCATAACCGTCATCGATTCGCCACTTCGCTGCTTGTTGTGTTTGAGCTCCGGTCACTTAACGAAATATTTTGCATGTGAAAGCAACAACAAAGTTAGCTAGCAAGAATGGACGATAGCGAGTTTGGATGTGCCTCATTGGGTTCCTTCGCTTCGCCACTCACTAACTGTTGGCGAATCGATGACGGCTAATAATATTTTGGCGCTTAAACTTTTGCAAAGTGGTTGGCCGAGCTTCTACGATTTGTGGTGTAAATTTTATAAGAAACTTTTCAAGGCAGAAATAAACTCAGAGATTTGTCATTGCCTGCCTGGATTTATTTTGCTGTTGTACCATGTTATCGATATCATTGTGATTATAGTTATTATTTATAATTATCGTTATCCCTGTTGTTTATTAAGATTTTATTTTATGCATTTCTTTAAGACAGAAAAAAATCCATTATATCAAAAGAAAACAATACTTATATAGTTATATTCATTGGGGTGGTTAAAAAAGTCTAAAATGTGAAGCTCTTACCTCTAAGATTTTTCTAAATAAAAAAAATATATATATTTACAACTGCCTCAAAGCCCATGAAGTTTTCCATGTGTTTTATATGGAATTCTTGAAAATCAATATTATTTGATCGGAAAACTGTGGTTCTCTTCAGGAGACGTCCAATAATTATACCTTATTATTTATTTAACCATTTTTTACTACTAATGATTTTTTATACATATTTGTAAATCTCAAAACTAGAAACAAAAACTTTTAGGGCCGTTTACTCAATATGTGGTTAACACTAATCTCCGTTTAAACATCATTATCGACGTGTTCGGCTCCATGCATATAACATGTGATCGATAAAGCAGTCGTTGTATCTAACTGGAGCTTCTACCTCCGATTTGTGCTAATCAGACATTGAACAAACGGCCCTTAATGTTCAATAGCCACAGCTGCACACCTTGCATTCGCTGATAAAAATCAAACTGAACACTTGAATGAACCGCTTTTATTCTTAAAGAATTTCGCCGCAAAAGGATTTCACATAAAAAATCAAATTATTTAAAAAAAGTATCGTTTACATTTACCGCATTTAACAGCAAAGAAACAAAAAATCTAAAAGGAAATCAGTGGGAAGTGGGAAATATATTCTCTATAACGAAAAGGATATACCATTTAATAATGCATTAGGACTGAGTGCAAAAAAAAACTGCGTAAAAAAACCATTTGCAGAAAAATATATACTACAAAGAAGTACATAGGACATAATTCTTCAACCTTTGATATGATCACAAAAACAAAAATACTAAAAGGAAAACGAAAAAAAACGGTATACAATTAACAATTATAGTAAACGCCTACACTGCAACAACTGGAATCTTCAAGCAAATCGAATAGCGGGTAAAGAGCTTAGCAGACTAGTTGGCTGGCCACAGAGAAGGACATTGTGGCTGAGTGACAGGTCACTCGCAAGTAAGCGCACACAAACACAGCCGGTCTGACGGCCTTGCATTTTCCTCATTGATCCGATTTTGCAGATCAAATCATAATCTATTCATTTCATTTTGTATGCAAGTGTACTGCGACGCTGGTGGCAATGTTGGCGGCGCCTGCCTCTGTCTGTCTGTCTGTTCTATATTACTTATCCGATCTTTATCGGCTACTGTTGTAGATTACTTAGCGCATGAGAAAATAATGCTACCTAGCTTGCATTTACGCTACTTTTCGAGAGGCGGATTTAATTAGTTGATCCTGGCTACTGTTGTAGTTGAGTAAACAGGTATATATGTATGTATGTATATCCTTTAGTCCTTTTGGTTGCTTTTCTTTTGTATCATTTTCATGTTTGTGATAACCGATCTCCGCCGACGAGAAGTTGTTTACTAATGTTTTGCGAAAGGCGGAAAATTCGTTTGTTTATTTAGAGGAAGATTTACTAGTTGAGGGTCGCAGATGGAACTGGAGTGCTGGTTGTGAATGTCTTTAAGCATTAGGGCAGGTGTATTGGTAATACAATGCCTTCGGTAGTTAAATTGTAGTTAAAAGTAGTATATGAACATTAGGGTGCCCATCGAAAATGTTTTTTTTTAGAAATATTATTGCATATTTTTATGGATTTTTCTGAGAAGAGAATATATAGACCTTTAAAATGGTATATAATACTCGATTGTCGGACTTGGCTTGTTGGGATTTTGTATCGGGTAAATTGAAAAAACAACCCATATTTCTCTTAATTTTTTTAAATTTTGACCATCGATAATTTCTACAATTTCAAAATATGGAGTACTGTCTTCAATTAAATCTATTTTTAAATCAACTGATAGCACATTTATTGCAATCGCATAAGAATTGTCGAAGTTAGGCGACTTTTTTTAAATACGGCCCTGAATTTATATCGTTTATGTACCGGACTTTCAGCTTTTTTGGGCATTATGGCTAAGGAATTCATCAATATTTATTCAAATTGATATATATCGCTATTTAGCAATGAAGTGGCTTTTCAGGAAATTTCAGGAAAATGGGGATGGCACCGCCCACTTATATCATACATCCTCTAAATGACCTCTAAGAAATTTATAAAAATAGGCAACAATATTTCTCACAAAAGCGAATAAAATTTATATTAATAATATAAAAAAAATAATAATATTAAAAAAAGATTATTTTTAGATCATCCCAAATATCTATTTAATACTTTTATATTTTTCGATAAAAAAATAATCGTTGTTTTTGGATTTGTTGTATCATATTTGATCTTACTTTTGTGACTTTTATTGTTTCAAAAATAACGATTATAAAAAAACAATCAACGATAAAATCGAAATTCAATCGAAATATCGAAGAGATACCTAATTAAATTTCAAACAAAACAAAATAAGCCCCAAATTTAAGTTCATTTCATGTATTTCTGTTTAACTTCTACCCTCCACTCGCTAGTCTCAAAAATTGAGGTATAGCAAGAAATAAAGGAATTTGCATTAGTAGCATTCCTGGATATTCCAGGAGCTCTGACGGACTTGCCGGTGGAGAAAACTCTGGTTAGAATCATCCACCAATTGCTGACCAGCTGGGAGATGAGCGCGGAATTGTGGAGGACATACGAATCGCAGGTCTCTCAGGGGGATGTTCTCTCTCCACTCCTATAGGTGACTGCTGCTGCGCATGGAGGCATGGTTCGATATGGGGTTCTCGCATACGCCGGTGATGTTGCGGTTATCGTACAGGGGAAGTTTCCTAAAGCCGCTCTTGCTTCACTCGTTACTTGCACCAAAAACTGCGGTCATGAGGTGAACCCAGCTAAAACTGAGCTAGTCCTTTTTAGCAGACTATACAAAGTACCAGTTCTTACATCCCCTAAACTCGATGGCTCAAGCCTAGAATTTCAACGTACTGCCAAGTATCTTGGAGTAAGTTTTGACCGCAAACTGCTCTGACAACACAATGGAACGCATCAAGAAAGCCACCACACAGCGCTCTTCACATGTAAAAAGGCGATCGTGGGACTTCTCACCTAAGATGGTTCACTGGGCCGACACTGCCATTGTTCGCCCGATTCTATTCTACGGAGCCCTAGTATGATGGCCTACCCTTAGTAAGACAATACATAGCGCTAAAACA